TCTTCCTCCAGTGGGTGGTGGAGGGGGAGGGAAGTCATCTGAGGGCCTGCTTGGGATTGTGGGTAAAGGCGGCCGGGCACTTGCGGGCATTGGGTGTGGAGGGAAGGAAGACTGGGACTCTCTCGGTGGTGGAGGAAGGTTTGGACGTCTGCCCGGCTGGCTGGGGGGTGGAACAGAAGATGAGGAACTTGACGGTCGGCCTCCAGGTAGAGGCGGTGGGCCGCTGGGAGAGCTGTGCTGGGGTGAGCGAAACGAGGGCGGTAGGGGTCCGGCCCTCCCAGGAGAAGGTCGTCCAGCGGTTGGGAGCGGGGGTCTGCTTCCTGCTGCGCTGCTGGATGCTGGGAATCTCCCCGTTGTAGGAGGCATCGGTGGTCTTACTGCTTTAGTGTCATCATAAAACAAAGAACATGAAGAAAAGTTCTAAGTATAGCACATTTCAGTTTTTGTCACAATTCAAACAATATAATGATTCAATTATGATTAGGATTACTATATATGTATAGTATATTAGTATATAGTATAATATAGTATAGTGCAGTATATAGTATAGTCTCATTTTTATTTCATTTAAATAATAAATAGGATTAGAATTGTCATTACAAGTATAGTATAGTATAGTATAGTATAGTAACATTTTGATATAAAATTTGATCTCAATGCATAAAATTATAGTATAGTATAGTATAGTAAACATTTTGATTTCAATTTTTGTCACAATGCAAAAAAAGATTGAAAAATGAAAAATGAAGATTATAATTATTACATTATATAAGTGTAGTAGAGTATCGTATAGTAGGATTAAATTATAAATAAGATTAGAATTATTGCATTATACTGTATAGTATAGTATAGCATAGCATAGCATAGTATAGCATAGCATAGCATAGCATAGCATAGCATAGAATAGAATAGAATAGAATAGAATAGCATAGCATAGCATAGAATAGAATAGTATAGTATAGTATAGTATAGCATAGCACAGCATAGAATAGAATAGAATAGCATAGCATAGAATAGAATAGAATAGCATAGCATAGAATAGAATAGTATAGTATAGTATAGTGTAGCATAGCACAGCATAGAATAGTATAGCATAGCATTGCAGAGCAGAGTATAGTATAGTATAGTAGAGTAGAGTAGAGTAGAGTAGAGTGTAGTATTGCATAGTATAGTATTGTATAGTACAGTATGTATTATGTAAACATTTTGATGTTAGTTTTTTACCCCATTGCACGTATGATTTAATTATAAATACAATTATAATTATTATTAAAGAAATAAGTATAGAATAGTATGTAAGTATGTTGTAAGTATGCAAGTTTTTATTATTGTTTGATTAAAATTTTTGTCAAAATGCAAAAATAATATGATTAAATTATAAATAGCATTATTAGAATTATTAGCAGCAGCTGTAGTAGTAGTAGTAGTAGTGGTAGTTGTAGTTGTAGTTGTTGTTGTAATATTTATCTTATTTAATATTTATTACATTTTTATTTATTTAGTTAGTTAGTTACTTAGTTTTATTTTCACCGCTTTTGTGTAAGGCTTGTGCAATATTAAATCAGCCTAAATATGATTAATTTGAGATGATTACCAGTATTGTCTCTGTTTCCTGATGATCTCAGTCTTGGCATTCCAGCCTGAAACAGCCCGCCTAGTCCACCTGGAGCTCCGCCCCCAAACCCTCCACCTCCTCCTCCTCCACCTCCTCCGCCTCCGCCTCCTTTGGGCTCTGCATTAAATAAAAATATTATCGTTACATATTATGATCACAAAAATGAATTCTTCAAATGTGACCTGTGCTGGCAAAATGAGTCTGAATGCGCACGGGCTAACTTTGAGCTACACGCAAAAAAAATAAATTTTTTTGATTTTAGACAACTTTTTTCACAAAGATGAGTTAATTAAGCCCTTGTCTAGTATTCCCAATGCTCCAAATAGTAATTAAACATCTAAAATTATCTTTATTTGTACATTTTCTGAGATGAGTACCTTTTCTCCGCTCGCTTCTCACGCTGACTGTCATCCAAAGAGTGCGCATAACGGTGCTTCCGACAGCGCACGATCCCGATAAATAGATATTTGCTTTTTTTTGTTTTTTTTTTAGAAATTACAGTATTTAAGTATTCACGCAAACATACAAGTCTTAAGTGAACTTTTGGGGAACTGTTGGGGAAAAACATCTGATGTGTAACATTATATTAGATCTGTTCATTAATGTTAATCTAACAATAAAAGAAAAGAGGGAGTCACTCACTGCTCTTGATTGAACTGCTTTTGTAGTTACAATAATCAATTTATTTGTATTGAACACACTAAGGGATTTTTACATTTGATTATTTGTTTTTCTTACTTGAATGCTTTTGTTTAGATGTAAAATAAAAAGGTAACACATTATTTGTTTCTTTCTTATATTCATTCTGTTTTTTGTTTTTTTTTTGCATCTGTTCTTATTTACAATAACAAAGATAAAATAAAAACAGCTATATTATTATTATTAGACTAATATAGTAATTATTAAGAACTGGAGGAAAAGATGTAATGTTGCTAGGTGATTTTGCTTCGGAACCTTCAGGAAAATTTAACTCGATTTTTCTCAAAATGGACTTTGCAGACTCTATAGACTTCAAACGGGAGAAGCTCAGTCATTTTTTGTCCAATTCCAACAAGTCATACACCATTTTTAAGGTCTTTTAGCGGTGAATGTAAATTAAAAAAATAACTCATTTTTGAAAATGTGGTCATTGTAACTCATTTTGCCAGCACAGGTCACAAATGTCTTTGGCTCTACACTCTTTAAAAAATAAAGGATGTATGCAGACACACACACACACACATACACATACATAAAATATGTTGCAAAATATATTTCAGAAAACAAGGTGAACTCACTGTCCAGCACTGGGGAACTCCGATCATTGGTGACGGCTTTCTTCAGTCGAGCTCCTTTGCTGATATCTGACAGTAAAGCGTTTCTTCCTTGATGCTCAGATCTGCTCAGATTTGGCTTCTCTGTGTTTGCCTAATGATAGTCATTGTAAATTAGACAGGCTCCATAAACCACACACATTGCCATCAACTCAAAATTGCTTTTGAGCCTTGAATACCAAGAACTTTGAACAGAAGTATGGTGTATGCTACATAATTACACATGCTACATGTATGCATTTGTGAGCACATGATTTAAATACAGTGTGTGCATAATTATTATGCAAGCTGATATTCTGGTCATATTCTGGTGTGAAATAACAATAGGTCTACTATATTATACTATGCTATGCTATGCTATGCTATGTTATGCTATATGCTATGCTATGCTATACTATACTACTATAGTAGTCCCAACTACATTTCGCATTTTGCTGTCTAGTGGTCATGATTTATTTTTGCAGTTTCTGTATTGCATTAGTTTTGAATATTTCTCATGGGCATTTCACAATATTTGACTTAAATCTCTCTTTTTTTAAGATTTAGGCATTGCTAATAATTATGCACACCTAAATATTTTTCACTTCCAGCCCTTGTTAACAATTATATATCACTTATAAATTATTAAATACAAAATTAATAGTAGTTATTAAGATTGATGTGGCTTGGAATTGGTAAAATGTGCTTAAGAGAAAAAAGTATGACCAGAATTTCAACTTGCATAATAAAGTTGGTATTTGATTTTGGTTACTTGGTTTCTTGGCATAAAAAGTGTACTCAGCTATTTTCTAGTTATTTGGACAACATCAATAAAGACTCAAAGAGAGTAATTTTAGGTGGCAAAATACAGTATCTTTAACAGTAGCCTTGTCAAATGAAATGGTATAAAAAAACTTTCATTTTCAGGCACAATTTGGACTGTTTCCTGAAAACAAATGAACATCCTGTAGATTCACCAGAACATTTGTTTTATGTAAGATACTATTGTAGCTCATACAAATGAACTAATAACATAATCAGTATCAAAATAACTGTTTTAGATTCAGTATAAATATTTGATACATTTAAGTACTAAGTTAAGCTAATGATCAAAATATGTAGATGTGAACAATGCTGTCATACCAGTGCAAAGGTTGGAGGAGGGCCAGGAGGGGGCGGGGGTGGTGGGCCAGA